TCTATTTTTTCAGTCGAAAAAGGAAAAAGACATTATTCAATGAATTTGTGTGCGCATGTGGCGGGCATTAGCCAAACTACTAATTATATTTATATATTCTCAAGAGTGTGTGGGTCCATATTCTAATGATATCTGACGAACATCAGATATCATTGAAAAGTTGAATTTAAATTCGTGTATTCTTTTTCATGTTTTTTTATTTGTCAAGTTTAAAGGCAGAAATGGTAATGAAAAAACCCACATGAAAATACTAATTTCTAGGAGGCACAATATGATTATTATTGTAAAAGCATTATTTGCGAAATTATTATCTACCACTCTAGGAGGAGAACTACAGAGGCCCCCTAGTAAAAACATAACGACACCATAGTCCCATGAGATTCATAAATGATACAAATTAAAATTTCCAAATCCCTAAGCTGTAAATAAGTTTTCGCATGCAGTTACAAAAATACCTTTAATTCTTAAAAAAAAAAAAGTAACCTCTTGAATTTCAAACTATAGTGAAGGATGATGATGGTGGGATAGTATGATTTGACTTCACAACCTCTTGAATTTCAAAAGATAATGTAGTCAATAGACTACTAATGAATTGATTTGTGTTTGCAAAATATTTATTAGTCTCCAAAGTTTTTAATAAAGAATTATAAATATTAATTTTAAAAAGTTAGTTCTCAATTTGATATACTAAAATTGTAAATTTTAGTAAGACACTTGTCAATGGAGTTATTGACAAAAGTACAAGCAACCTCTTTTTGGTATGCAAATAACTAATAAATTTCACAAGACTAGTTATTAGTTTCTACTGCTCAAGTTGTGAAATTTTTTTTTTCACCAAAAAAGAAGTTGTGAATTTTAATAGGACGGTTGTTAATTTAATTATAAAAAAAAGGTTAAAATTAATAAAACTAGATATATATATATATATATAAGTAAAATGATATTAATGATTTTGGAGCTACATTACCTTCTGAGATTCAAGAGATCATGAGTTTAAATTTTACCATAACCGTCCTTCACAATATTTCACTTACCGCCAATGTCCAATCGGCAAGTGACTGGGGGTAGTGGCTTCAGCATCAGCCACCATGTTGGATGAGATAATTTTTTTTTTTAAGAATCAATAGAATTTTTGTAATGGCATGTTAAAACTTATTTACAATTTAGAGAATTAGAATTTTGTGTCATGTCATGTGTAGATTTCATGGGACTATTGTGTAATTATGTTTCTATTATGGGAGACCAATGTACTTCTTCTTGTTATTTATGACTTAATTATCACTAATATAACGTACTAAATATTTCACGTTTTATTTTGAACCATGTATATTCTTATATAAATTATATGTATGAGTTGCACATTGTTCATTAACTTGTTATAAATTTTATATCCAAGGATGGCTGAGAAGGGAAGGATCACGAGGCTGGACCCTCCCGGGCTTGGCTTGGAATGTGAATGATGGCGCTTGTGTGAAGTTTTGGAATGACACGATGGTTATCGGATTTCGATAGTTTGGACTTTGGAGAATTATGTTATGGCGGCTTTACCCGATGCTTTGCAGATCTAGTCATGGACACTTGTACATGGAGGTGGGTCTAGTCACGTTGAGTCCCCCCCCCCCCCCTCCCTTTGAAATCTGCCTATTTTAATTCATTTGCCGGGAAATTCGAATACATGCATATATCTGGCCAAAAAAAGAAAGAAAGAATATATACATATATAGATGCTAGTGGTTGAATTGGAGAGACTGAAATACTAAATACTTTCATGCCACCTCTATTATCATCAGAAGGAAAAGAAACCATATCTTATCTCTTAAAGCTGATGATTATACCTAAATTTAGGACCACTATTCTTAAAAACATGACTGCTTCTTACTTTGACAATCTCTTTAAGAAAGATGCTCATGAAAGACCCAAACTTATTAGCGATAAGAGCTTTCCACCTCTCTGTGCCATTCAACTCCAATCCATCTATAGGGAGGTGACTGAAGAGGAGACTAAGACTGTTACCTTTGATATTGGAGCCTTCAAGGCTCCAGGCCCTTATGGTATCAACGCCGGTTTCATTCACACCTATTGGAATGACCTTAAAAACAGCATTTTTAAACTTATTAAAAAGGTCTTCATTAATTCAAACACCATTAGTGAGATGGATGATACTTTCATTACACTCATTCCTAAAATCAAAACCCGACTTGCATGAAGGACTTTTGGCCTATATCTCTTTGCAATGTTAGCTACAAAATAATTAGCAAAATCCTCTCCAACCACTTACATCAATGTATGAACAATCTTATTGGGGATTCTCAGTGCAGTTTCATCCAAGGTCAGTAGAGTAGTGACAATATCATTGTTGCTCAAGAAATTATTCACTCCATGAGAAACAAAATCAGGAATAAAGGTTTTATGGCTCTTAAAGTTGACCTTGAGAAAGCTTTTGATAAACTCTCATGGGATTTCATTGATGATACTCTACATTCCATTGAGCTGAATAACCATTTTAAAAAATTAATTACAGTCACCATCTCTACTTCTCGTGTGAGTTCTTTGGAATATTGAACCAACAAACAAATTCTCTCCCTCTCACGGCATTAGACAAGGAGACCCTCTATCTCCTTATTTATTTATCCTTTGCATTGAACGTTTTAGTTATTGTATTCTCAATTCCATTCAAAAAAAATGAACGAAAGCCAATTAGAGTTACAACTAATGTGCCTTCAATTTCTCATTTATTTTTTTTTGCTAATGATCTGTTACTCTTTGTAGAGGCTTTCATTAACCAAGTTATGATTATTCAACAATGCCTCCCTTGACTTTTGTAATGCTTCAGGCCAAAAAGTTAACATTGGAAAATCAAAGCTCTTTTGTTCTAGAAATGTCAATATTAATAGAGCTACTCATATTAGTTTTGAATTGGGAATTCCTTTCACGGGAAACCTTGAAAAATATCTTAGTATTCCTCTAATTCATGAAAGGGCATCCAAGCTGACCTTTGCTCCTTTACTTGACAAAACTTGCTCTCGCCTTACTAATTGGAGAAATCGTTTTCTCAACATCACAGGCAAAGCTATCCTTATTAATTATGTTCTCGTAGCCATCCCTAGCTACACCACGCGGACCATGCTTGTTGCACCCGAAAAATGCAACGTGAACGACACATGAGCGGAGGTTTCGGCCTTCGCAGCGGGAACCAGATGAACAAGAAATTGCCACTAAAATTTTGAGGCAAAATCTTGGAAAACTAATTAAAGGAGGATAAGGATGGTTTGTGAAAATAGAAAATAGGTTCGAGAGTCAGTTGAGTGTAGGGAAGGTGCTAGGTACCCCACAATACTTGTTCATAAGAACGGTTACCTGAAGCTTATTGTACTATATTAATATGGTTTTAAAATTATTTTAATTATCCCTTTTATATTCATGTGTTTGATATAAAAATGATAAGAATTAAGTGATAAATATTTATTTATTTACAAGGGAGAACTTGACTCAGAATCCAACTCTGAGGCCCCTGTGATGGAGATCAAAGTCTGCGTAGTTTGGGCTTAAAAGTTTATTGGTGAAAATATTTTTTGAAGAGAAATTAAATTGCAAAATTTTTCAAATTTTGATATGTATGTTTTAAATTGCAAAAAGTGATTTAGTTTTAACTATTTTCTCAATTTTTAAATTTTTGAAATAAAGAAAAGAAAAGAGTTTAAAAATTATTTTTATTTTTATTTTTATATTTTATGATCAGAAATTTATTCGTAATACCTGCAGAGCCTTATTGGCTCATACGGTAATATAATTATTCTATATATCTATAGAGATTTTAAAATCTCACACAATAAAAGCATTTTGCAACTTAATTTATTTATTTATATTATTATGTATAGTTTTAAGTATTAATAATATATTTTAAGTGTGTATACATTTGTTTTAAAGACTCTTAATCATCATACTTGCAAAGCTTTATTAGCTTATACAGTATTATGATTATCCTAAATATCTGCGGAGATTCTAAAATCTCACACGATAAAGGAATTAAATTTATTTAAATGCATATTTAATTTAATTAATTATATAATTTATATATATATATATGTATATATGTATATTTTAAAAACTTAATCGTTATATCTGCGGAGTCTTATTGACTCATATGATAATACGATGATCTTAAAAGTCTACGAAGATTCAAAAACCTCACGTGACTAAAAGATACAATCGGTAAATGTGATTTCAATTTAAATACATTAATTTGATTAATTAATTTTTAAATTATGTATTATATGATTATTTACAACAATCATTTATTTATTATAAAAATTAAAAATCACTACATTTGTGAGGACTTATTATCTCACACGATAATATAATTAGTTTAAATCTCTACGAAGATTCTTAAAATTTCACATGAAACTTAAATAAATTATTTAGATTATAAAAAGATGGTTAATTTTAATGGTGGATCATTGAAACCTTTGTTTAATATATATAAATTGAATATTTATACCTGCAAAATCTTATTGATTACACAATAGATGATCATTTTAAATATCTGTGAAAATTCTTAAAATCTCACACGACAAGTAAATAATTAAAAAGAAATATTCTCTTATTCATTTTATTATATTTTTTTAATTAGATAAGAATCGAATTCTCTCCCCTCAACTTTTTATAAAATAGGCTCGTCATAATAATTGAAATCATACATGTAAAGGACCCTAGAACTAATGGAGATGAAAAATCATGTCCCTACATTTTAATATGCTTTTTCATGCTAAAAACATATTTAAAGACCCTGTCTAACAATTGCACTAATTCTTTCATTATTTGAGATGAGATTGCATCTAAAATCAAATTAGGCTAGTCATGATAGCAAGCAAAAATTATTATTTACGATCTCTTTATCCTTTTTTTTCACACTCTCTTTTTGATTTTTTATTTAAAAAATGACAATCACGTTAATCTTCATTCAAGAGTTGGAAAATGTGGGATAGGAAAGCTTATCCATCTATTTCAAAGAGTATACATCACATCAGAATAGCAACTATAGCAATTTTTGAATGGCCTAAAGAAATATGATCGCAACTATCAAGCCATACAAGAACATATGTAAAAATTTTACAGTGTTCATACGTGAGAACACTTCTAGATACACCAAATAAAACCAGAGATATCCAAAACTTCTAACGAAATGCAAGCATCTAAACGATCAATCACAGGCATATGTCAACCTCTTGTTCAGAATTTTTCATGGTCCCCAATACTGATCAAAGCTTATAGATATTTAAACATGAAATTCGTTTGGAAATAATGAACTGAGATTAAATGTAAACATTCCAAATTCAGAAGCAAGCATGTTAGAGAACCTGTGTGTAACACGTCTTCTTCCTCTCAATATCCCAAATCTATCTCACCGTTTCTGACCAAGAATCTTTGATTTTTTTTTTTAGCAACCTCCTCCCTGATCTCTGCCTCAGTTTCTTTCCTTTCCCAATCTCTTTTTTTTTCAGGGAAAAAAAAAACTCCTCTCTCTCGGTCTCTTCCTCCTCCTCTCCCAGTCTCTTTTTTCCAAAAAAAAAAAAAAAAACACTCGTCCCTCAATCTCTCGGTCGTCTTCCCCTTTCTGTTTCTCTATTTTTTTTCCAGCCAGAAAAGCCCGAGAAAGAAAAGCTCGTCCCCCCTCCTCCTTTCTCTTTTTTTCAGCCATATATAGAGAATAGAAGGGATGCATGATTACTCACCTGCTCTGCTTCTTGCTTTTTCCTTCTCTTCCGCTGCATTTCTGCGCGTGTGCCAAAAGCTCTCTCTTCTCTGGCTTTAGTTTTCATTTCTACGTGACTCTTCTTTCTTCCTTCTGATGTGCCGGCGAAGGCCATTTTCCTTCTGCTCTGGTTTCATTTCTGTGTGACTCTCCTTCTGTGCCTGTGACTCTAGTATTTGTTCGCGCGTTCTGCTCCTCTCTCTCGTTCTCTGTCTCTCTTTCTTCATCTCTATTTCTTTGCGTTTTCGGCGTCTGACTCTGTTTTTTCTGCGTGTGACATCTGACTTCCTCAGTCTTGCGTGTGTGGCCTCCTTTTGTTCTGTGCATTTTCTTCTTCTATGTACGATGCTACTCTGCCTCTTACCTTTTCCTTCTCGTTCTGCGTCTGACCGGGCAGATAGATTTTGGAACCGTTGAGTTAAGATTTAACCCATCTATATATATATTATTATTTAAAAAAAATTATAATTTTTTTTTGCTTTTTAATCATGTTTATTAATTTTAAAAATTAGAGAAAAAAATCTGACCTTGAATTAAACAAGTATATCTTTTTTAGAAGACAATAAAATTTAAAAGAAGAAATTTAAAAAGAGTTGACTCTCAAAAGTTAGTTTCTAATATTTTAAATGGTTGGGATAATTTGGGAGAGATTTTTTCTTTTTTTTTGAAGATTTAAGTAAAATTTTGTTTAATTTTGTTAAATTATTGTTATTTTTTTAAAATATAATCCTAAAAAGGATTAAATTTTATTTTTATATTTTTATATTTTTTGGTTATTTATTATCATTTTAAAAAATGTCCAGACAAAATACAGTGTTCACAATGCTATTACCTAACAATGTTTTGGTTGAACTTGAAAGAAGCTCTAAAAATTTTCTTTAGGACTCTTCTGATAGGCACAAAACACTCTATCTTCTTTCTTGGGTTTGTGTTACTATAGAGAAATCTAATAGGGGCCTCAACATTAAAAATCTTAAGTCTCAAAATATTACCTTCATCATAAAACTTTGCTGGGATCTTATCACTCAACCAAATCGCCTATGGGTCAGGATCCTCCACGACAAATATAAATGTCTTAATCCCAGTCCTATGGTCTATAAACCTAGCTCCTTCTCTTACACTTGAAATAATATATACAAAGTTTGGGATAAATTCATGGCTCATGTAGGGTAGAAAGTTAGGAAAGGAGACCAAATTTCATTCTAGTATAGTAAGTGGCCCCCTCTTCTGGAACCTCTTGTTAAATACACTTTTCTTAGTACTGAGCATATCCTTCATGCAAGAGTTTTTTATCTTTGTGACTCTACAGGGGGATGAAATTTTATCCTTCTGAATCATCACTTTCATCTTGAGGTGATAAGACAAATTGCACTTGTTCAACCACCCAATCTTCATAGAGATGACGATGTCCCAGTTTGGAGACTTTTCTTTAATGGGAACTTCTCTGTCAAATAAGCTATCAAGGCTATGGTCTCTTAAAAGGAGCAAACCAATTTCAACATTTGGATTAGGATTTAAAAGTGGCCTACTTATAAAAAAATTAAATATTTCCTTTAAAAATTTGCTTGGAACAAACTACAAATTAACTCCATTTATATTGAAAGGAGTACTAATTGTCAATGAACTTGTACTTTTGAATGTAACCCTCCTGACTCTTCTATTCATATTCTGAGAGATTGTAAAAAAGCTCGTAATGTTTGGATTGAACTTGTGAAACATTCAAAACTTATTACTTTCTTCTCCCTTTCTATGCAGGATTGGACAACTTAAAACGTGAAAGTTAAGGCCGACAACCTAAACACAAGAAGAATCCCTTAGTAAAGGCTTTTCGCTCAAATCTGTTAGGACATTTGAATGTTACAAAAAAGATCTACTCAGAGGATATCAACCAAGACATTGACATTGCCTTCTCTAATACCTAGCAAGCTGTCAATAACATGAGGGTCCAATCAAGAGCTAACATCTTTAACCATGATGGCAAAAGATTAGAGACACAATAAAGACCTCCAGATCTAGGTTGGATCCGTCTTGACATCGACGGAGCTATCAGCTCCAATAGAGCTGCATCCTGTGGTGAAATCATGCATAATGACAAAGGTAATTGGATTAAGAGATTCTCAAAATACCTTAGTTACCAACCTAGCACCACAGCAGAACTCTCGACCATTTTAGAAGAACTTTAACTTTATTAGTGTCACACCCTAAATGTCTAAATTGTGACCGGTTGTAATACAAGAAAACTCATATTCCATAAACTCAAACTCATATAATATCTAATGTTTTAATTACCCAATCTTATCATATAATTTTCATTTGTATTAAACAAATACTAGCAGTAGCAAAATATTCAAGCTTATTGTAAAAATTTTGGTAAAATCTTCCCTATAAGTTGGACTACTCGAAATCTCTACAACCTACCAAAAGAATATCCAAGCATCATTTAGAGTTATACTCTAATACAGTATATATGTACATATAATCCAAAACGCTTTGAGCAAGGACTCTACCAATAAGATTCGTGGAGCAATTCTAGAGAAAAAACAAAATACTTAAATATTTACATTAATCTACAATGTGAATGGAGTAACAAAAAACTTCTTATCTTAAGAAGTCCCATGAGATCAACTGAAGAGCAAGTCCACTTCTACTATCTAAATACTAAAATTTTTTCAATAAATAACGTCCCCAAATATTAATAACAATAATAATAATAATAAATAAATAAGATGATCATGAACATATAAAATAAGAAATAAGTAACTAATCTATTTATTGATGGTATTAGAAAATAACTGCACAATTTATCTTTAATAATTAAGTAACAGAAATAGAAAAGAAAAAATAAAGAATTATAATCAACAAATTAGGAATATGACTTTTACCTAAAACAAAAAATAAAAATACAATTCATAAGAACAAAAATATAACTTGAAAAACTTATTTTCTGTTAGGATTTAAACAGAATGAAAAACATGCATGGATATAAAATCCATGAGGGCAAGTAACATTCAGCATGACTAGAAGCCACAAAAAACAAGCGCAAACATAATGCTTACCAATAACAAGCGTGAATTATATCCACAAATCCCATCTTCTCTTCCACACGTTTTGGCTGACACATAGGGTTAGCACCTCCAATGTACTTTGCTAGCTAAGTGTGCCATAGCACACCAAGGGCTAACAAAAATATCATTAGCAACTAACATTTTATATTCAATCCCATAAAATATTTCTAGTATGCATTGAGTCTAAAAATCCTTATAGTTCAAATTACCTTTTAATTTGTAAAGTATAAATGATTTTTTCATCAGTAATTTATCTAGCCCATATATGTATTATACTTTTGAGAAAAACAAAATACCCTAAAAATAATTGCATAAATAAACTTAAATAATATACATGATATATATTTTAAATCAACTTAATTATAAAGGTATAATAGGAAAATTTATTTAGAATAAATGAAAAATAAAATAAGAAAAAGACCATTACTTCTAATTATTGAGAAACATTATTTACTTATCTAATGCATCATCCAGTTTCAAAATTTCCTTTTTACAACTTCAATCATTTTTTTTTCTTCTTCTAATGATCCTATCAAATATAATAGAATTTTAACATATTTTCTACAAATTAAACAAACTTTCTTGCTACAGTAATATAACCATAATCTATTTAAACAAGTCAAAGTGCATTCTTCATGATCTTTTAGTCTCCAATTTTGTCATATCATCTTAACCCAACTAATTATATTATTAAAATATAATTCTCTTTTAAACCTTTCTACAAACACCTAACACGCATTTACCTTTCGAATTACTGAATTAAGCTTCTAAACCTTCAAATCTCCTATCCATGTATTTTCAAACCCAAGTTCCACAAGAAAATAACTCTAATTTTAATAATAATAATTAATTTTATTTTTTATAGTGATTATAAATACCCAAATGAAACTAGCTAACAAAATACACCCTTAAAGTTTAAATCACAGCTTGATTAAACCTTAGCAACAATCAAATTCAAGCTTCAAATAGGATTAGAGAGCAAGATATTAGAGAGGAAAATTTCAATTTTTGCTACAATTCTAAATACATACACAAGGATGAGCATCGTAAAAGAAGGAAGAGAGCTTTCAAACACACTTACACTAAATCAAGCTAGAGGAAGGGAGAATGGAAGACTGAGCATAGGCAATAGGACAAAGATGGCTCGAACAAAGAAGGAAAAAGCTTTTGGCGGTGCCGCTACAACAGATGGCGAGGAAAGAAGATTGACAACTAAAAACTTGGAAGAGGGAGAAGACTAGTGGACTTCCATAGCAGCAACGGCGGACGCACCTCCGTTAACCGGCCGCAGGTGGATTGACGAGGAGAAATGAAGGAGGAAGACCGAAGGGGGCGACTGACGTGTGTTTCCTCTTGAGCTCTCTATAATGAATCGGGAATGAAGTAAAAGGAAGGCTGAGGAAAATTTATTGATGTGCTGTTTTTGTTTTCGTTTTTTTTTTTTTTTTTATAACAAAGAGGTATAAGGTAAATTCACATAGTTAAAAGAAACTAAAAAAAAATTCCACCGCCTATGGCTAGAAAATTCGAACTCTGTACAAAGTTAATAACATTGATAATTTCCACTAGACCAAGGTTAATAGCAATGATAATTTTCACTAAGCCTCATATCTAGAGCCATCAATTAGGGCCGAGCCTGTAGGGCCGGCTCTTTTAGGCTCAAAAAAATTGAGGATCGGGCTTCTATTTTACCTTTAAAAAGATAAATCGGGCTTAAAAGGGCCAAAAATAAAAGGGCCAGCCTTTTTAGGCCCGTTTATAATTTTTTAAAAAATTATAATATAAAAAAATAAAAGATTAAATACATAACTCAAAGAAATGAACATATTAAATGCATTCATTCATCCATCATTTATTTATTAAGATTTAGCTGATAATATTAACTAAGTTTAATTTTTATTGGTATTCACTTTGATGTTGCTATTTGATATTAGACCTAAATATTTTAGTTTTCTTTACTATTGTGGTGTAAATTGATTTAAATTTATTTTCTTAAACTTAATTTTATGAATAATAACTTTTTTTATGATTATAAATATATTTTTTTTATAATTTTTAATTAAAAAAATAATTTTAAAAAAATAGGGCCAAGGCCCTGAGGGCTAGGGCCGGGCCTTAACAAATGAAACCCTGACATGCAATCGAGCTTATTAGGGCCAGCCCGTTTAGACCCTGGCCCTTCAAGGGCCGGCGGCTGGCCCTAATTGACAGCTCTATTCATATCCACCTTGTTACACTTCCTTCCCAAAATTAATAAATTAAATTCATTCACTCAAATTTTAATTTTAATTAATTGATTTTTTTAAGATATTATATTTAGAATGCATGATTTTCTAATATCAATATATACTCTAACTCAATAAAGGTTCTCTTACTTATTCAACTTAATCTCCTTGATAATCATCCAATCTCTAAAACTATTAATAAAATTAGTTTGTCATGAAAGACTGAATTATTACCTTTGACTACATGTTTGGAAAAGCGAATAGATACGCTAACTTATTCACTCATCAAGCTTCTCAAAACAATTTAAACCATATTATTTTTAATCATCTACCTCCAAGATGCATATTTCTCATAAAATCTGACATGATTTGATTTGTATTCATCTTTTACACACGTTCACTGTAGCCTTTTATTTTAAAATATATATATCCATACACACGTGTGTGTGTGCGCGCGCAACCCATTTAATGTTCTATTTTTTGCACCAAGTATAAAACCTCCAGAATGTGTGATTGATGTGACTTATAATGATCTTTCTCATAATTCACCAGCATATTTCTATTGCGCTACTCTAATTAGACAATTGCAAAGTTTGTTCATTCCCTTCATGCTTTGAATTAATATCATTATTTCATATAAAAATCTCTTATTATTTGTAAATATTATTATTATTAATTATAAATCTTCACGCATAATTTATAAATTAACTTTTAAGATATACAAATTTTTGAAGGAGGACTAATTAATTTTGAAAGAAGAGTTATAAATTAACAAATTACTTTAATTTATAAATTACCTATAAATTTATGAAAAAACAGTTGAACTGTTAATATTTAAAAGATAATTTATAGATTTTTCAATGAATATTTATAAATAATAATATTAAAATTATTAAATATTAAAATATTTAATATTTTAACAAGATTTTATAAAAATAAAACATTTATTAAATTTTATTTGAACAAGAGTTCATAGTGCCTAGCGTTTTAGGGAACAAGTTCAAGAGTAAATTAATACTTTAATCCTACAATGATATGCTAGGTCAAATTGTCAATGGGGTCCACACTTAATACATGTAGATAAATCATGGTAAAATTGATGGGTTTTTAACATGAGGATAAAATTGCTCCTTAAAAAATGATTTAGAAGAAACATTATCCCACTTACTCTCTATTTGGTTCAGGGGAGGAATTTTGCTCCTCTCTCCTTGTTTGGATGGTAAACCCTCCAAAATCGGGGGATAACGAGGGGAGGAGTATTATATTGTTACATTGTGACCAATCTACCATACTATAATATGATAATCTAAAAATGCCCCTCCCTCTTTGCTGCTCCTTGGTAATGTGCCCATTCAAGTCGTCATCCCTCTCCTCTAGCTCGTACCACCGTCTCTCTTCCCCAGCTCATGCTGCCATCCTGGCTCCCTCTGTTCAGATCATCATCTGTGTCGAAGTTTTTTAGGCTGCTCGTGCGATTTCATCTTCCCCGCTCGTGCTGTTGTCCCTCTCCCCCAACTCGCGCTGCCATTGCTACTTCCTATGTTTAGATCATCACCCGCGTCATGAAGCCCTCTATTCAGATCATCGTTCGTCGTCGCTGCTCCCTCTATTCAGGTTATCATCCAAAGCTTTCCAACTTGTATCCCAGTAGTGCATTCTATTATTAACTAATATTTTATTGTATCTTGTACTTTTATCTTTTAATATAAATATTTGATGTTTATTAAAAAAAGATGTTAACAATCATTTTTATCCTTAAACTTTTTTCAATGAGTGAGGGATGCTTTGTATTGACAAGTGAAGCAATGTTCTCCTTAAATTATTTTTTGAGAAGCAATTTTATCTTTTCATTAAGAACCTATCAATTTCACCAAGATCTGCATATGCATATTACATGCAGGTCCATTTATCATTTGACTTGGCTTATTATTGTAGGATTAAAGTGTCAATTTGTCCTTGAATTTTTTTTTCAGGAACGGTGGACACCTAAGTCTTGTTAAGAAACCTAAACCATTTTTTGATAAACAATTTTTTTCCTTATATTAAAAACTCATCAATTTCACCATGATTTACCTACATATATTGCATTCGAGCACCATTGACCATCCAACCTAACTTATTATTGTAGTGTTAAAATGCTAATTCACTCCTAAATTACACCCCCCCTTTTTTTTCAAGGAGCAATAGGCTCTTTGTACTAAGTGGGACAATGTTTCCCCTAAACCATTTTTCAAGAAGTATTTTCATCCTTCCATTAAAAACCTGTCAATTTCATCATGATCTACCTATATATATTTAGCGTATGCCATACTGACCATTTGACTTGACTTATCATTTTAGGATTAAAGTGTTAATTCACCTTTAAATATTTTTGAAAAAAAAAATGCTTTAACCCTATTGTCTTTTCCTTTTTCGTTCTCTCTTTTCCATCTTTTTACTGACAAATGCTTTTTGTTCTTCATAACCGTTACTATGTCTTCCAGGCAAGCTTTTGGAGAATTCATGCATGCATAGCCTTCTAGCTTGTGATATCATTTAGCCTATAAATTTATGTTCTACACCAAATTTTATGTATCCTATTGAGTACACCGCAAATCGCAACTCGATGTATTTCAATCTGAAAGTTAAAAACAGATCAGCTTTCCAAGTAGAAAAGTTTAATTAGCTTTCCGCATCAGACAGGCCAGACGGGCTTTCCAGTTCTGCAATGCTAGCTCTAGCAGAAGCAAAAGACTCTGTAGATTCCAAAGAAGAAAGGGATGACGCAGAGTCTGAATCGAATACAAGTTCTTCATTTAAGATTATGTGGTCTTCATCTATATCGGATGTCTCAGACCCAGATGCCCCCAGCAACAACTTGTTTATTGCAGACTTTGCTGTCTCCACAAACCATTCATCCTCAGGAAGTGCACTAACCAGAAATCAAACACAATTGAGAGCAGTCAGATTCTCAGACCCCAGTGGAAGACCACCAGGTTAGGTTCCTCTTACGTGAAGACATCACATAATCGTATTATTATAGTCACATCTCATGATCAATATCAGAATAAACTATAGAATCTGTAATAAACTACATGAATACGTCTCGTTCCTTGTACTCTCTACAGTATGCATGCACATGCTCAAAGCAACAAAAGAGACCCATCTATCTAGTTCAGTCAAAACACAACCAATAAAAAGGATGGCAATAAATATGATAACAAATCGCTCATTCTTTGAATTTCATGCGATAAACATGCTTCATACAATGCGTGGGACCCACTCATCTAGTTTTCAATTAAAAATACAACCAGTAAAAAGGATTGCATATATGATGATAACTAAAATTTTCAATACTCAGTGTTTAACAAGGCAAAATTTTGAATGAAATTTGATGTGGCATTGTTCTATCTGTTGATTTACTTTTTAAGTGAAAATGAAATGTGAGATGAACTAAAATGACACTGATATTATGTCATCACATGTGAGGATCCTCATCCAGTAGAAAACGAGTATGGGAAAGAGGGAAGAGCATGGGCTGAAGAAATGACGAATACCTCTGTAAATCTATGCCCCTAGCAGAGAAGGTCCTGACAGCGCGAGCAATTACAGCTGATGCTATTTGATGCACATGTCGAGATGGATATCCCGCAAAGCTTGCGATTTCAACAGTGAAGTGCATATCAAGAATCAACTGCCACAGAAAGTCAATTATGACTCAGATGACAGTAAAAACAACAGGAAAACGATAGTTAAGGACTCACATAAGTGACATTTAAAGACTATCAAATTCAAAATTAATGTTGATCATAGGAATAGGTTGCCACAAGAGCTCGCAAAAAGTTAATACGTTCTATAAAGTTACAAGTCTTCCAAAATTCAAAATGGCATTTGTATAATGTCCCCCAAGAAATTTTTAATGGTCCTAGAAGATAGAATCAAGAATAAAAGCCGAGCCTGAAACTCTTGTTTAAATAATAATTCAAACTTGAAAAATTGGAATGTTTTGGGAGAAACTGAGTTTCAAGGCCTGGCCCTAATAGGCCCTAAAAAAAAAGGACTCAAGATCAAGTAACCTTCCAAGCCCTATTTTCTTTTCTTTTTTTTTTCCTTCCCCCATTTTAAACGCACCATTCAGCTTAGCACCAAAAAGAAAACCCTAAGCACACTCATGCTGCACACTCTTCAATCCGTTCAATGCAAGTATTGTACTATCAAAATAATTGATGTTAGTTTTTTGCCATTTATTTTAACATAATGTTGATAGATTTTTTTTTACTAATTCTTAAACAAGATTATTTTGTTAAGTCTATTTCTTGGTTTTGATTAATATTATACTTTGTAATACACAAGTTTTTGTATTTATAGGATTGGATAAGGTTAATCTGCATGGAAGATTTTTATCTTCATTTTAAAATTTGATTAAAATTTTATATTTGGATTTATATTTATTTATTTTATTGAATTTTTTTCATTTTCTAATTTTTTTAAAAAATAAAACGAGCTTATGGGGCTCAAGGCTAAGCTTTAAAAACCAACCATTTTTCAAGAAACTAGGCTCAAGGGCCGAGCCCATCCTTATCTTTACTAGGAGAATAGGTAGACACAAAAAATGGAAAAAGAAACTTGTTCATCTGAACTTCAAATGCTTCTCATATTCATAAAGCTCATATAAGTCAAACTAACAGATTTTAATATGGCAACTTCAACTAAGATTTTAAAAGCTAAACAATCCACTGAACCAAAGGTCAAACCATGATCAAACCAGTTATACTAACAACAAGAAGGAGTATTCTTATTCCATGAGGAAGAGTCAACTATATAGATTGTACAACACCATTGTGCTCTATCATTTACCAAACTGTTAAGAATGTTATTAGCTAAAATGTTTCCGTTAACAACTTCTATAAGTGTTCTCTTTAACCTTCCTCTACCCTCTTAACAGGGCTCAAACTTATTCATTTCACTTTCATCATTGATACCTCTCGCAATCTTCTTTTTACATGTTCAAACCATTTTAAATAATTTTCCACCATTTTTCTCTCAATAGATGCTATGCCCACTTTTTTTGCATATAGTGATTTCAAATTTTCTCTTTACGTATATATCCAAACATCCATCTCAACAATTAAGTTAATATATTTAAAATTTTATATGTTAAATATAACATTGAAGTTATTATTTTATAGAATATTATTTTACAAAATTAAATTTGTAGGATGAGTTTAAATAGTGTTTTTACGTTTTTATTATTTCTGAACTTCAAAAGCTTCCCATATTCATAAAGCTCATATGAGTCAAACTAATGGATTTTAATATGGCAACTTCAACAAAGATTTAAAAAACTGGACCATCCAATTGAACCTAAGGTTGGACTGTGAGTCTGTGATCCAACCAGAGTTGAATCGTGGTCAAATTGATTATAATTACAACAATAATAACAACAAATCTTATTCCATTACGAAGGGCTGACTACATGCACTGCATAACGTCATTGTGCTCTATCATTTACCAAGCTTTTAGGAATATTAACTTAAATGTCTCAGTTAACAACTTCTATAAGTATTCTTTTTAGCTTTACCCTACCCCTCTTAACATGGCTCAAAATTATCTATTCCATTCTCCTCACCGATATATCCCACGGTCTTCTTTACACATGTCCAAACCATCTTAAATGATTTTTTATCATTTTTCTCTTAATAGATGCTATGCCCACTTTTTCTCGTATATACTCATTTTGAATTTTATCTTTATGTGTATACCCCACATCCATTTCAACAAGTTAATATATTTAAAATTTTATATGTTAAATATAACATTGAAGTTATTATTTTATAGAATATTATTTTACAAAATTAAATTTGTAGGATGAGTTTAAATAGTTTTTTTACGTTTTTATTATTAAATATCATTTTATTAGCATATAAAAATTGGAAGGCAAGAAGGTTAGAGGTTGCATTCACTTCAATAAAGCAAAAATGTTTAATGTTTTCAAAAATATATTTTTATAATACACACTGACGCATATTTCATGCACATTTTCTCACTAGTCTTTCTTTTTCAATACTTATAGTGTATAGATATGCATAAAAGACAGCTTAGAAACATGATTTAAAATTTTCAAACTTAAAGACTGGTTCACGGTTCATCAGTTTCCTAAAGATTCAACCTATTCTTGATTTTACAACCAATACCAGACTGGACACTAGACTAGTTCCAAGTCCAACCAGTTGAACCAACTTGTCTAGTTCAGCTTTTCAAACATTGCTTATGACCCAATCTAAGGTATGAATCTTCAACTCAAACACCAATAAGATGGCAAAGACATAGTAAATCTAACTTTAAAGAATATTCCAGCTGTATCTAAAATTGGGGGGGGGGGGTTAATTGAACTTTGGGCCCACTTTCAAAATGAGAAAATAGATGAAAGTCCCTCAACTTTCACAAAAAAATAAAAAAAAAAAGGTCCTTCTATCTATTTCACCCATAATGAAGTTATCTCATACTCCAAAAAAAAAAAAATCTTTGCAAATTATGCGGCAAATTGTTCTGGTTCAGGGTGTTATTGGCAAATTTGAAGTGGCAAATGGAGAGATGGTGTTAAAGGAAAAATAGACAGAGTCATAGATACCTATTTTCTAGAGTGAAAGTTGATATCTATTTACCAACGAGAGTTGGTCCGAGTGGTAATTGACTCAGTTCCGCTTAAGTAAAGTTTCGAGTTTGAATCTTGTGCATGCAAAAAATCCCTGCTGGGAGACTCACCAAACATAGCTAGGTACGCGAAGCAAGTCAGATTCGAATTAGCTAGGGCGAAGCTCTAGATACTAGGTGGGCAACCAAAAAAAAAAAGTTATCTATTTTCCGGCTATCAAAGTTTATGGGCATATTTCCATGTGACCCAAAGTTTAATGGATTTGTTTTTTTGCATTTTCCATGAAGTTTAATGAAATAACATAATTATTCATAAAAATAATCTATGACAATGAAATGGTTAAGGCTAGTTCAAGAAGATAAGAAAATAGAAAGACAGCTTTTAGAGATAAAAGTACCTGCTGTAAGCCAAGTGGCTGTAGAGGTGCTGAATTATCCTCCAACACACCCCAGAACTCTTGCTCATCTGATAACCAAATTACAACGGTCTCTGTTAACCTAGCAAGTAAAATTTTCTGTATTTTCTCTTTCCCAAGTAACACATCTCCAGCCACAGTGGCTAATTGTTGAAGCTTTGCAAATAATGCCTGCACATATCAGCAGCAAACCAACAAGATAACAATTATTAATTTTGATCGGAAAGATAGCAATCAAAAAATTTAATGCCCTATCCAAATCCAATGCATCTCTATTCAATCCTTATTTGGACAATCTTCCGGTGAGACCACCCAAACCCTGCAATATAATCTCAAGTAGCAAATTTTCTATGTGCAGGCTTCATAAAAGATGGAGTCAGTAAATAAAAGATGTTCAGTCAAAATGCTCCCATTTTTCAATTACTATTCAAAAATCACCTACAGGCTATCAGATAAAATAAAAATTGTGCTTAAGGCGAAAAGCTAATTAAAAACTCATAATTGCACAAGAAACGTGATAAAACCAGTAACATGTATGAAATAGGCCTTTTCTTTTTCATCATGATAAACACAATGTAGACACCAGTTATTCATTCACAAGCATCAAAATTGTTGCGAGATGGAGACCATTTGAAAAATTGAAGTGGATAAAGGAAAAGAAGAAAGAAGAATCAATATTCAATACCACCAAAAAGTAAGTATGGACATACAAAGAGAACATCTAGCCATCAAAAACACAATAAAGGAAATTATAGAACAAAACAAGTTCCACAGCTAAAGTTGAAGAAAAAGAGTAATGACCTGAAATGGAAGCGAAGGCAGAGGCTCAGAGTCCCAATAATGATCTTCTCGGTTTTCACTTAAGTAAATTTGGGCATTCAGTCGAGTTTTTCCTTCTCGTGAATAAATGAAACTCAACACATACTGCCTGCAGAAGTGATCCCTAAGTTTGTCAAAAGCATGCTGAAGATGTTTTCTCCAGTCCTTCAATTCTATACTAGTGTTAGGAACAACAGTCTCAGAATTCGCACTCTTTGGTTCATTGCTTTCATTTTGTTGCTTCCACATTGATATTACAGCATTTGGTAACAGTTCATCTAAAATAGTAAATGCAACTCCCAATACTGCAAGTTGTTCTGAGTCTGTCTCAGCTCTGAAAGGCGTAGCCTCTTTCAGCTCTAGAAGATTATCATCGTCAGAAGGACCTGGCAAAGCTTTGATAAGAGCATCCATGTACTTATCAAATAGCTGAGAAATTCTACTCAGTACACTTCCTCCAAAATGCAAAATGGCCATCGACATCAACTGTCCCACTATCTCCTGTAAATTGCACCATAGGTCCATGAATACAGCATTTACATTTCAATTGAGAATGGGTGAAGCAAGCTTCCATGCAAGTTCAATCAGAGGCATCCATTTAAGGGTTCACTCCTGTACTTGCTTACAGACAGTCAAACTAAAACTTGACAACTGTAAATGCCAACACATTGAGGGGGTTCTTAACTTATGAAGTAAAATTCAAGATAAAGATCATAAATATGATGAATGAAGAGGCTCACACACATGCAGAACTCTAACAAACGGTGGCAGCCACTCTCTTCTATTATTTATAATAATCTCAAGATAGAAATTAACCACAACTCATAAATGTTATGATAAAGATAACTGAGACCCTCAAATAATAATAAACCCTAGACAAAGATAATCTCCTAATGCATGAGGAATTTTACCCAGAGTTATCTCAACAGATATGACTACCAAATCCAATCACTAATAAATACACACCACTATTCATCCTAGACTAGTTGAGTTTGTGAAGGCAACAACATAAAGAAATACAATCTTAAAAATAATTCATTGCATCATTACTGCTATTTTCCGTTTTTGTACAAGGTAGTAGAGGAAATGAATCCATAAAACATACATGCATTATTCATTAAGTATATAAAAGACAAAATATTAACCTAACTTTCACAACGTAAATTCTAGAATTGACACTTGTAACTTGTAAAGCATCCAAAAATATAAAACAATAACCATCCCTATTGCATTATGGAAGAACCAAAATAAGCACCAGAGAGAATGGCTATCAAGGATTACTAAAACCTGATATATTGTCAAAATAACCCTTCCCAACAAGGTTCGCTCAATACATAAAGGCTGGGAATTGAAACCCAAACCACACTTATTTAAGGAACGATAGCCCTGGATAATCATGCCAGCTTGAGTTAGCATGTCAAGACTCTATTTTATTAAATGACAAAAAATTCTTCCAGCAAATGACAGAAATTTTTTTTTTTTTTAGGAGTTCAGATAATGCGCTGCTGCATGCTCTGTTGAGATGACAATCACGTCTATTGTAAAGCTCCTCTTCCTCACAGAAATAACAAGAGGAAACTGCAAAACGAAGAGGGGGAAAACAGAAGACAAGGGCTTTACTGGTGCTATGACAATGTTCACATATTCTTGCCTGTGAAAGAGTAAGGCTCAGGTATCATCTCAAACATCATATAAACTAAATGATTGTCTATTTGATTAGCCATATTATATGATGAAATCAACTGACCTTGGTTATGTACATAAAACGCATTCCACTGTCAACAAGAATGCTACTAGATGATGATACTATTGCAGACAACGAAGATGCAAATTGTGGTGACAATGGGAAGCACTCATCAGATTCTGTCAAGCCAAGAACTACTCTTCTAGCACGTCTAAAATTAGATTCTAAAACTTCCTCTACAGAAGGACGCAAAAGCACCAACAATAACTTGGACATTTTCAGTCCTTGGGACTCCAACATTGAACAATAGTTCAGACTAGCTTGAATGCCATTGCTTGCAGCACGTAAGGCAGAAATAGTCTCAGATGGGGGTGAGTTCTCCTTTACCAATCGTACAAAATATTCAATTTCCCACTCTGCCCACTGAACAACTCTATTGGTATAAACAGGATTGTCTCCAAAAATTGAAGCAGATTCCTTTGTTGCCATTGAGATTACAGAAAAAACAAGCCTAGCTAGTGTAGAAGAAAACATTTCAGGACATAGAGAACAAGAGGGAAGCAAGGCCTCTATCCTCTTTTGGAGGCGAGACCCATAAAATTTCAGAAGTAGCTGGTTTGCTAGAGGTCCTTTTCCAAGTCTGATTAAAACAGACAAGGCTTTCTTCAGTTCATGAAAGCTAATGGAAGGCTGTTCCGCAATTGCAACCAGCTGGTCCTCAAGCATTGCCTTTCTTTCCAAGAAAGCCAGCTTATATGAGGAAACTTCATCTGACAAGTTCCCTGAGCCTTTTAGCTCTGCACAATTCTTTTCTTCAGCATCCATTGCCTCCAATGCTTCTTCCAACTTATGTTCAGCCAAGAGAACATCAATGTTCTCCAAAAATACTGTTTTGTGGTCATGTCTTTCATTTGTTAAGGGTTCAAGAAGTTCACATATTTCAGGTTCTTGCTGAATTTGATCAAAATCATTGCTTGACTGGTTCCATTTTTCTAATTCATGGCAGACACCAGTCATCAAATCCTGTACTAGAATACCTTGAGCTGAAATATGCTTTCGCAGCTCAATCAATTCATGCTTTACCTCCACTGCCTCTTCAGATATCCTGCAAAGTCCACAAAAAAACAGAGCAAGATAATTCAATTCTTTCTTTACAGTTCAGGCATTGGCTTTGTTAGAAATATTGATATAAAGAAGTTCAAGATTGTGAGCCCTTTCTAACAGCTAGAGATTTCCAATGGCTTTGGCAATATCAGGCAATCAAGAATTCAATTGTCATTAACTGCACTCCCGAAAATCAATTTTCATACTAAAAGGTACACATGGCTTTTTGTTTTGTCCACTTCTCAAGTCTACCAACAGCTTTGGTGGAACAGAGGAATGCAGATTGTATTCAGTGCCAATTGATTCATCAACAAAATTCTTGTGCCAGGTAAAATCCCTTTTCCCTCTTTATCACCCATATTAACCTCAGACTGTTAACGGCCCCAAAACAAAAACTCTAGCACTAATAGAACGATTCCTCACTAAAACCCCTACTTTAACTGCAGGTTCCCCCTCTTCCATTTCACACATGCATCATTAAGCTTTTAGAATGGTTATTTCTCAACAAAACTAAAGAAACTTAAAAAAATAAAAATAAAATAAAACAATTAAAAAGTAACAGCCTGTAAGTCATCTTTCAATCAGGCTTCCATATTACATCAACTATCAACATACTAAGCCAGCACTGTGATTCTTGCTTCAGAAAATAATATGTACTCTAACATTAAATTTTAAAATACATCACCATACCTCAAGATAACTATCATGAAGAGTGAAAGCAAATAAACCAAAGTGCTGCACTGTGGTTTTTCCTCTGGACAATGATAGTTTAATATAAAAAATTTTCATGGGCATTCTAATTTTGTTGGGAAAACATTAAAGATCATGATTTATTCAATGGGTTTCTCATTCTTTCTATAGGAAACATTATGTCATAAACTCTGAAAGTTAAAAAATTGAACCATATGCATGCCTAATCCAATCAAGAAGCTGAAATTGCCAGTTTCTGTTTCTACTGCATAATGAATATTGCATATTTTGTCTTGTGCATACATAAGGAGTGACAGGAAAATGATTTTATCTAGCAGAAAATTTAGACATCATTTCTGGCATACCTTATTGGGTAACATCATCAAATTCAGTTGGCACAATGATGCCACCTGACTAATTAGAAAGAATAGATGGAAGAAATTCAGACAAATGTAATGAAGATAATATATACTACCTCAAGAAAGACAGGAACTTTGAGTGCATATTGCCACATAAGTTCTCCACAGCATCCTTCAGATCTAAGAGCTCACAGCAAAGCTTTCTAATCCCCTGCAGGGATAAAGTTTCATCACATCTAAATATAAATTCACCATGCTATTATGATGGTTATGCATTTCATTCAATCCTTAGAAATGAACTCACCTAACAAATAATAAAAAAGCATTAAAGGGAGATTAACAATATGCAGACTACAAGGTGAAGCCATTTGATACCACTGATGCAGTTAGAAGATAAGAAGAGAGAGAAGAGTAGGACAGAGAGAATATAGAGAAGATAGAAGGAGAAATCAGAGTTTTATTGACTAATCTGTCAGTAAGCGCAATAACGTCATAGGTATGCAGTCCTAGACCCTGTTTATACTTATCCAAGGATAACGGTCATTAGTGAACATAACAAACAATCATAGCTATAATTTCTCTAACAAATCTCTACTTTTATTTATATCTACACAACACAATTTGAAAGCATTAAAACACATCAATTTTTCAAAAGCACATTAAAGGCATCAAATTTAAAATGGGATGGACTTTCATTGTAGTCTATAAGAAAGACATTATAATTTTATAATTTCAACTCTTCATAAAAAAGTTTCCATCTGTATAGATGCAAAACATCAAAAACATATCAACAATTCTCAAATGAGTTGATTTATTTTATCGCAGTATTTACCTAACTAGACAAAAATCAGAAAATAGGTTTCCTTGATGGCAAGAACAGTGACTTTTTATGACCATGTACATCAGCTCTACATGCATTAAGTTATTGGGATGCCTGGTTAGAAGCTCAAGTGCAACTCTTTTTAAAAAAAAAATAACAATAATAACTCATTTTATTTACAATCGTGTATGACAACATTTATCATTTATGGCAAATCCAAAATAAGGTTTTGCTCAGATGAAAAGGCCTTGAGCAGGGCCATATAAGCATAAGTTTACAGCTTAAATCCCGAACCAAAGTAACATTTCTAGAGAGGGGCAAGAAACACCCCCTCCCAAAGGCGAAAAGGTTATGTAGCTTTCATTTTTGTCCCTCCATATGTTTAGGTATAAATCCATCTCTGCTAAACAATGAAAACAAAAATTAAAATGAAGCCTTTATCTAAATCCATAGCAAACTACCAAAATTTTGAGGGTGAAATGGACAAATGTGTCATCAAAAATTGGAAGGAAAAGGAGATAAATCATTATGGAAATATGCAGTATTATGGTGTAGGTGGTCGAAAAGGAATGCTCAGGTTTTAAAGGGTATACTTTGGAGCTCTAGTAGGAGCGGAGTATTCAAGTCCTCAATATGGTGTTTCCGAACAGTTTCTTTCTTTTTCTCAAGAAGATCAGTATCTGATGGGATTACCCCTCAAAATCAACCTGCATCCTTCCTTAATAGAAGGATAGGAGGTTGTGAGGCAGTTTAAGAGAGTTGGCTTAATTAAAAAGCCACGTGAATTATATTGAAAGGGGTATTTTTCTTTCTCGGATGTCTTGGACATCTCTTGTGGATAAAGATCACTAGGGACTTTTTTTCATAGAGTAGTGAATCTCATGTGTATCGCTGGCCTGAGCTATAAAATTCACACCCTTACATAGAAGGGATGACCTAAGAAAGGGCTACCTAGAGCTCATAGTCAAAAACAGATCTCAAGGGAAGCCACCCAGGGGGTGTCATGTCAGAGGTCGAACTTCAAAACAGTAAGCGATTATATATCCTTTATTGGCAAAAAAATCAAGACAAATGACACTTAAGGCTCGAGACATCCCACCCAATCTTTTAAGACAAGTTCTTATCACATGGTACCAGAGCACTCCCCTATAATCCCAGCTGCAACTGTACAACCTGGGTGTTGAAGATGGTATTGGAGTATGTGCCCATGGCTTGAATGTAGCACAAAGCCCACCTGCATTGGCGCTGGATATGCAGATGAAATGTTACAGGTTGGCCTGGTTATCAGAATTTCCCAGCAAATATATCAAAACAAAAATATTGGGATTTGTCCATAATAAGGGAGAGACAACCCAATGCTTTCGGCCAAACCACATGAAACATCAAAGGCGTTGTTCAAAGAGATAGCATTTAATCCGAAACGATGAGTATTCCATTTCAATGGTAGAACCAGAGTCAATAACTTTACTAAAAAACAATACAGGAAAGTAAATTTGGGAGGCAGTTAAAACCCCCCATTAGTTTGCAGACCATGTGAACAGCAACACGACAAATCAAATAATCAACCAAAAATTCTAATTTTTACGTCGAATGTTCAACTCGTTGTTCTCGCAAACTAACACTTAGCTAATGCACTCGCTAAATGAACGGTTAAGAGATTAATATTGGAGAAGAAGTTAGAAGAACAGCAAACCTTTTCAGTGTGGGACTGGTAGAGGGAGTCAACCTTGCTCTGCGGGATTATGCCTTCAATGGAAGGAAAGTCATCTTCTTCCTCGCTACTCTCCATTGCTGTGTTTTCCGTTTTCTCAGATCTTAACGATGATCTCGTTTCTGGGTCAGCGAGCACAAGCAGCAGCAGCAGAGCAAGACGAAGGCAAGTGATGAAGCGGAGCGCACAGGCCAAGACTCAAAACCAATGTTTTTTTAGAACCGGATCGAATATTGAATCAGAGAGGCTAGCAATGCATGGTTCATATGGTACAACCAGTTGAACCAAACCAGTGACATCATAATTAAATTTAAAAATTATATATTTATATAATAATATAAATAAAACATTAAATAAATAAAATATCAAAATAAATAATCAACTTCAACTTTAACATATGACAAAATAACAACTAACAAAGCACAACACAACACACCAACAATTTAAACAAGCATAACATCATATTTATCTATTCATGATTTGTCAAAGATTGGTGAATCCTTATTAAGCCAAGCATGAGTTTCCCGCAAATCATCATCACTATAAGTTTCAACATCTTCTTGGACAAAAGATCTCAAATCAAGTCCTTCCATGATTGAACATCCACCCCCAGACGGAACCTCATTACCTCCTCCTTCATTATTACCTTTATTAAATAATGTAACAAACCAAATATTAAAATTAATAAGTAATACATATTATAAGAAAAAAAATAACATGACTAAATACTAAAAAATATCAAAGATCAAACCTTCATCTTGATTGATAAAAACTTGTGGAATTATTGTATCATCATAAAGCATAGCTTCTTCTATCTCATCATAATTAAGGGTGGGAGAATCTTCATCTTCCATGATCCAATACTCAATGTCACCAATACTTTCATAATCAATAGGATCAAAAGATCTTTTCTTGTTATAAACTTTAAAACACATAACCAAAGTATTAAAATTTTAGAAGTTAACTTATAATTAAACCTATGTTAAACAAAGTTTAGCTATAATTAAATAATATACCTATTTCTCAAACGAAGATTGTAATGAATAAATACAAGATCATTTAACCTTTTATGCTCCAATCTATTCCTTTTTTTAGAGTGTATTCTTTCAAAAGCACTCCAATTTCTTTCACAACCAGATGAAGATGAAGTTTGGCTTAAGAGTCTCATTGCCAATTTTTTAACATTTGGTGCACTATCACCAAACATTTTCCACCATTCATCTGCAAAATTTAGCATCAAAGATAAACATAAGTAAGAACTATAAAAACTAAAAAATATTAAAGTTAAATGAAAAAGCATTAAAATTTACTTGGCTGCAATGAGTTTAAAGATGAAATGGCGAAGGAACGATCGAAGCTATCGACTCTATCTTGATACAACAAATTTTCTTGCACAAACTTGGTTTTGTTAGAAGTGATTGTCTTATCCAAAACATCAAGAAATCCAGCCATAACCTCTGGCTTTTTACAGAAGCTCTGCTTATCATAAAAGAACACAGGATTTAGGAAATAAGCTGCTGCATGAAGCTTCTGACAAAGTTGAGAATCCCACCTTTTCTTGATAATCCTTATGTAAGGCTTATATAAGGGCTTTTTATTCATTAATGTATTCTTGATAGTTCTTCTTGCCTTGTACATGCCATCATATACATACCCAAGTAAAGGCCTCTCATCAGCATCAACAATCCTCAACAACCAAATAAGTGGTGAAACAATTTGGACCATAATTTTACAATCATTCCAAAATTGATTGTCCAGCACTATTAAAGTCACATCTTTTGCCTTTTCTCCTTTTGAGTATCTAGAATTTAAAAAATACTTTGCTAGTTACCAAGGCTTGCAAATCATGTTTATGCTCATGAAGATGCAATAAAAGTAGTAGCAAAGCGTGTCACCCCAGGGCAAATAATTTCAATCCAACCTTCTCTTTTTCTCAGCCAAGCAAGCAAAAAGGCATGATTATAAACAAACTTTGTCACCGTAAATGCACGTGTTGCCAAGCCAATCACAACATCAATCATAGGTTGAAAGAATGCTGAATTGACAACATTTAATGGAATACAACAATCATACATCCACTTAGCAAAAGCCATGTCTACCCTACATATAGGTTCTTTACCTGCAAGCACACTTCGTATCCCTGGCTATACTCCTGAGGTTGTTCTTGGTGTAAAATATTTGTCAATAGGAGCCTTTCTTTTTCCAAGTTGAGTTTGACTTTGTGATTGAATTTCCTTAAGGGTTTGAGATTGAGGAGTAGAAATTTATTCTGAATTTCCATCATGACTTTCTAATGGTGTGACATTAGGGCCATATGGATTGTCCTCTTCATAACTATCTTGCTTTTTGCCTTTATTCTCCCTAATCTCCTTTAAATTTTCTTAGAGTCGGTAGCGAACATCAGCAAGCACCTTTTTGCAACTTATTGCATCCCCTTTCTTTCCAGAAAGATGTTGTTTCATTCTATAAATCCCTCCACCAGCAAATTCTTTTGCACAGTTCAAATATTTTAGGCAAATTTTGCCATCTGGGAGCTTGACCTCAGCACAATGCTCCTATGTAGGATCTATCTTTGCTCTAACAGATTGTGTTGATGCAGTAGTTGAAGCATTTTCAGATGTCATTTTCTACAAGGTAAAATTTAGATTTGTCATTAAAAGACCTAATCAATTCAGTGAAGTCACAGTGGCAAAAGAGCTAGAAATCAAAGTTGAAGCCTAAAAGACAAAATCAAAGCTCAAAGAGACAAAGAAAATGCATAAAGCTAAAAATAGAAAGCCACCGCCGCACTGCCAAAGTCAAAGAGAATGAGAGGAGAAGAGCAAAATCTAAAGCTTGAAATCACAGTGGGAAGCTTGAAATCGAAACTCAAAGAAAAAGTGTATGTGCTGAGTACATTCCCCATTAAAGCTGCTTTGACAAGAAATCAAAACAAAACGCATCAAGCTTCCATGGTAATTCTGTTCATGAAATATATTGGTTTTCTTATTGCCCCTGTTGCTATACATCGCCAATTGCCCCTGTTATTTATCTCAAATTGTGCAGATAGAAATCAGAAAGACAATGGATATATTTCTTTGACACGACAACTATGAAGATGCGCAAAATTAATTTTATTTTTTAAACATAGTTATCAATGAAAATTTGATTTCACGTGCTTAATCATTCCTCTATTAGTTATCATAAAATTGTTATAAAAAATTAAATAATAATTTATAGAAGTATGTATTTATTGTTCTTACTGAGTGCTGACCAAAATATATGTATTTGCCATTGCTATTGATCATGTTGAACTGAACATTTAGTAAATAAAATGGGACCTTACCATAGCTTACTCTTTTAATCACTTATTTTCTTGGTCTACAGAACTTGGACGAAGCACATAGCAACCCTGGGTTGCATGCTACAGCTGGACCTGGTCTTACAGAAGGGTGTATGATGCTGGTATTTTTAATCATATTTTCTTTTTAATTGCTTCAGAAAAAAATTCTTTATGTGCTTAATGTTGATAATATGTGAGCTTAGGGCTTTATTAATAAGTTTAATACTTTTTACTGCAGCATATAATTTTTGAATTCTTTTGTGAGTTTAAGGCTTTAGTTGGAATATTAACTACATTATTCTTATCACATGCTAGTAATCCTATTTGTTTCTGGTAAACATCTCTGATAAATAGTGTTGTCTCAGACTCAGTGGCATGACTGATGAGTTCTCCAGAAGTAATATGTTTATTATCGACATGTACTGATTTTGTATCTTTATTCTTGACAAGGTGTATGTCGAACAGGAATGGCTAAAGTCACTAATGCATATGACCTTCCTGCAAGGTTGATATTTTGTCTATAGGGCCCTCTTCCATATACTTGTTTGTGAAGAAGAGAAGAAGATATAAACAGTCTTTATTTATGTTGTTAAAGGACTACTCCATGCAAACATGGTTTACTTTATTTTTTTGTGTCTGCAGAATGGACACTGATGATTCATTTTCAGTCATTAGTGTTCCATTTTTTAGGAAATCAAAACAAAACACATTAAGCTTCTATGGTAATTCTGTTCATGAAATCATAATTCCAACTCATTTCCCACCACATGAAAAGAACACGTGGTGATAGATTGGATTTATGGATTCATCTCAATAATCAAAAGACTTTGAGAAACACACAGCAAAGTAAAGAGAATACTAAAACTCCTATACAAGATTTTGAGTAAGTTCTGCGAAAAGAAAAGGCTACGAGAGCAATGAAAACAGAGAGATAACTAACATAGATTCAGTCTTCAATTTGAGCATTCGTATGCAGTATGCACACACAGACACACTCACAAAATTTTAGCATGTTACTGGAGCAATTTACTGAGCAATATATACATGAATTCTAAGTCACATCATATATAATACTACTTCATCCAAAACCATAAATAATCAAAAATGGAGACACAAAATAAAAAGATAAAAATTAAAGAGAAGTACTTAGCAATCAGGACAGAAACCTCAATCAAATCCCAAATTAGAAATTTACCAGATGCGTCGACCATGAGTTCGTGACTTCGTAGCTCTGAACTGAAACCATGAAACCGAGAAATGAAACAGGAAGCTAAACCAAATGCGCCGACCGTGAAAGTGATCTGAAAGTCTGAATAAGAAGCCAAAAAATCAGTGCCGAACCGTGACTTTGTAGCTCAAAGAGATGAGAGATCTGAAACCGTGACTGCCCTACGAGCTACAAGCTGCGAGCTGAGTGTGTGTGGGGTATGCCTCTGCGTCTACGGTTTGCTCTGAATTTTAAAATATATGGGGCAAAAAAAAAAAGAACCGTCCGGCTTTTAAAAATCGGACCCGGTTCGCGGCCCAACTGACGATTTTGGCCAGCTCAACTCGGCTCAATGTCTCACATGGTTTTTCCCTTTTGGTCGAGCCAGAATGTGGACCGACCGATGGTCGGACCAGTCCGACTGTCCAGTCCGGTCCGGCTTTAAAATCATTGCTCAAAACAAAATCATTTTAATATTAGATTTGTTTTTTTTTAAGTTGTGATGACGTTAGACATTCTATCATGCGAAAAAATCAATCAAAGAACGTTAAAGGAAATTTATACTTCATCCATTCAAACATATAACATTTTTAAAAAGTTAAATATTTAAAAATATAAATTTTTTTAAATTTTTTAAAATATAATTATTATTTTTTTAAAAGTATCCCTATTAATAAATATCTTTATATTTATT